GACCTATGGTGTGGCCCATTCTAGCAAAGCTGGGAAGAAGATATAGTCAATGCTGGAGGCCTCTGACCCAACAAAGAGAAAAGGGGTGGAGCTCTACTGCTCTCCAGTCTTAATCTGGGGTTACTATTGGCCAAGTCTAGTGGGCAGCAGCTGGACATGGAGCTCGGGAGATAACCTCAGTGGCCTACACAGCACATTTCATTCCCAGATACGAATCATTTTTTTCCTATACCTCTCTTCTGTAAAAGAAATTTTTTTCAGTTATAAGTTTCAAGTCAACACATTTTTATTATTTATCCTTTAATAAACATGATATTCTTTATAAGTCATTACTCTGAAGAAACTCCAGGAAGTTCATCAAAGGTTAGAGTCATTGGATGTGGGTAGTTTGTGCCTCCAATTTCTGTAGCACAGACACTGTCAAGAGATAGAAACAGAACTTGATTTACTTTAATTTTGTTATTTTACAATGACTGGGAGTTTTTATTTGTGTTAAAGAAATTAAAGCAATAAAACCAAGTAAACAGAGCAATGATTTGAAAAACAAGCTTTATTGAATGTAACAAATAACTCTCTCTTCAAACAAATGCATGTACCCATGTGTCCAGGCTCACTGTCTATCTATCTACCGACTTATCTATCATCTATCTATCTGTCATCCATGGTAACTACATGATTTTCAAGACTTAGACCGACATAATTTTTCACTTTTTGAGTAGGAGTGCTTTGTCATTGACATTGTTTAGAAAGGCCATCCTGTAAACACAATAAAAAGATCAGATTTCTGTGTGTGTGTTTGTATGCTGAGTCACGTCTGACGCTTTCAACCCAATGGACTGTAGCTCATCAGGCGGCTCTGTTCATGAAATTCTCCAGGCAAGAATAATGGAGTGGGTTGCCATTTCCTACTACAGGGGATCTTCCCAACCCAGGGATCAAACCCTTGTCTCCTACATTGGCAGGTGGGTTCTTTATCAGCTGAGTCACTGGGGAAGCCCCAAAATCAGATTTCTCGGTGGTTTTCTTACTACTCTTAAATTCTCTACAGATACAATTACCCCTTACTGCCTGCACTTGGTGAGGACCTCAGCCATCACCCACTCTTGGCACACCAGTGCATAACCTGGGGGGACCAACCTCCTGAGGACACAGATCAGAGCAGAGGAAAGGTAAGGAATGGATCTGAAGACAAACAGGCCATGGATGGCCTGCCCTTGTCCATCATGTGAGTTGCTTATGCGGTCTCACTTGATCCCAACGACAGGGACTTTTGAATGCTCTGTTCCATTCTTGGGAGAGGAGGAGATGTTCTTCTGTTCCCATTGAGCTCTAGCTGTGGAAAATTTGTCAAGATTACCACTTGGCCTTTCAGAGTAAACACATTACAGAGGTGTCTCTTATCTCCCGGCACTATGAGGACATGAAGAAAATTCTCAACATCCTTGTCTCCACCTTGGTCAGGACACAGATTGTTTCTGTCCTTAAATTCTCAAGCCCATTTGGCAACCCATCCTTTCTCTGTGTCCCAGTCCCTAAGAACTGAACTAGGATGGTACATAGGTTTCTCCCCAGGCACACAACGAAATCTAGACCATCTTAACTGTTCTTTTTTATTTTACCTTCATCCACAGAAATTATTGCATAATCTTAAGATTCAGAAAAAACCTGATTCTGACTGAGCCATTTTATTCCTTGCCCACAGTCTTCTCAGAATGTAGGCTTTTCAGACTAAAATTCAAGGACTGGTCTTTAAATTTCTGAGCTCTAAAGTTTCATCTCTTCCTCGTGGAAGGAGGAGCTCCATGTTAGTTAAAAATCTCAAATTACTATCCTGATGTGTATATATATATATATATCTTGGTCATTCCCTAAATATTTATTAAGTCTCTACTTAGTATGGCTGACTTCTTGATTTCTGTGTTGGTATAAGTCATACAACCTTGTCATTTTCAGTTCTCTTAGCTAAAGTATATGGATAATGATTTCTGCACTGTCTACATTATGGGGTAGCTGTGGAGAGCAACTGAGCCCAACAAAATACTTTTAAATATATCAAGATCTTTCTGCAAATGAAAAGAATTATTAGTGTGCATTTAATTAAGTTTGTATTCTGCAAAGCATTCATCTTTTAAAACATTTTAACCATGTGTGGCTGGATAAGATTATATTTCACCCCTCTCTGATCCTCATTCCAGAAGGAAATTAGCAATGCATTTCACTGGCTCAGTGGGGTAGGCAGTAAAACTGAAAGCAAAATCGCCTAGAAAATTTTCCTTTATTTATGCATTTTCACTTCGGAAAGCCTAAGTATCTATGAAATTGCATAAAATTTTTGACAATGGAGGAGGAAATTTGTGGGTGTCATATTTTTAAAAAAGATCTTGTGGGAGAAGGCACAGTTTGCTTCACAATCTGTCTACTGCTTGTAGACAGCTGGTAACCAAGTCAAGAGGTCAGGTTTCCACCATGACTCTGGAAAGTGGTATCATAGATCATTTGGACCCTGGTTGCAATGGTAGTTTAAAGTTCCTCTGGCCATTTTAATATGCAGTGAAGATTGAAATCTACTTATCCAAGTGGCCAAGAATAAGGGAGTCTCAAGAAAAGACTGCCAAGCATAACAGGGAATTGACTGAGCAGAGAAGCCTAAAGAGACCTTGAGAGCAGATATTAATACAGTAGACATCTTCTCAGAAACCTTTATGGAGTGATGGTTATATACCGATCCCCTGATCCCACCACCCAGCCACTGCTTATTCCTGCAGAAAGACTCCAAGAATTGTGTAAGATGTGAAAAAATGCCCCCAAAGTTGAATTTAAATAAGATTTTAGAAAATGAAGATGCATTTCTTCCACATAGGGGTTCGTGGTATGAGATTTGCATCCATAACACACCTTGAAATTAATTGCAAATTATTTTTTTGGTGTAGTAGGCTAAAGATTTCAGCGAAGAGAGGGAAGCAGAATTATTGTGTTGTTTTTTTTTTTCCCCCAAAAGTACACTTTGATTAATGAAAGAGCAAAGAAAATAATCCTTAGTCCTTAAAATTTTGCCCCGTATTCAGTATTTAATGTTGTCTCTAGTAATTTTATGATTTTACCAAGAGTTATACAATTTTACTCTGAGTCTCTGACTAGCAGGAAAACATGCCTCATTTAGATTCTGGGACCCATCCTGCAAGGCTAATTATTTCTTCTGGTGAGCCAAAGGGTAAGACAAATGATCCTATGACAACCATTAAGCATATATCTTGCTTGTCTTGATGTCTTATTTATTTGCCTGTGTAAGATGAATGACTCCTTTTCAACATGCCCAGTGTTTTGGCCTTTCTCAATTAAGTCTGAAAAATAAAACAACCTTAGGAAAAATAAATCTAAATGATTGTTTTTCTTATTTTTATTGCTATGATTTGAAGACATTTACATTTCTTTGGACTATAGCATTAATGTATTACTAATTTTTAAAATACAGTTTTATATTACCAAGGGTTTGACTCATCAAAATATTGTTGGTGGTGTGTAGAATGGAATGAGGGTTTGACATTAACATCTAGCCTTGAGTTATCTCTGATTTAATGTTTCAGAGTTATTAGATGATCTTTTGAGGATAGAATGTCATTTTCAAACTGACCCCCCCCCCACACACACACAGGGAAATGGACCAAAATCATTGAAAACATGTAACTATTTTACTTTATTATTTTGTTATAATAAACATGAACATAAAATAAATATTTGGCAAGCAAATGTAATCTCTTCACTGAAATTATGTATTGTATATGAAATACATTTTTATTATAAAATAACCACAATATTTGAAAAGTTAAAATTGAATAAACATTCATTGATTCATAAGATATTGGAGGAGCATCCCATAGAAGTGGTCTTGCCCCACAAACTCTGTTTTGCCCCATAGACTTGGTCTACTCATCTCTCCCCTATAATATTGTCATGTTCAATACATAAGAAGTGAAGAATTGAGAAACAAATGCATACAATCTGAGTAAAACAAAATGCTTTATCTATACCTATTTATTTGGGAATAAAAAAGGAGGTACTTATTTTGGCCTGACTAACTGCCTGAATCATGACCTTGAGTCCTCCTTCTACTTAGCGTGTATAGACCTGTGCAATGACTAAAGAATAAAACAAGGAACAGAAACCATTCCCTTCAACACCTAGACCTTAATTCATTAATCGGGGCTGTATTTACTTTTGATGGGAATTGAGTGTTCACAGTCTTCTATTGCTGTATCTTATCAAGACAGATGATTCTGTTTGCTTGTAGGTACACATCATAGGTTTTGAAAGCATATTATTTTTCATTTATAAATTGTTTTCCTTTGTATACATAATTCTAAGCAAGTTTAACTATATACATTAGAGGCTTTAAAATCATCTTCTCAAATATTTTAGCAGAAATCAAAGCTCCCTTTCCCTAAAACTGTTTGCTAATACATTTGAGTTTCCTAAAGGATTAACAAATCTTTTCATTGAGCTAGCATTTCCATATTTTGATAAATTCAATTAAAAGCATTATTTGATGTCTATTGTTTTTCAGCTAATTGTTTAAAATAGAAAGAAGCCATCATTTTAGCTGTCATTGTGTTAGTAAAAGAAATATTTTGAAGAAAAGATAATAGGTTATGTTTTAGAATATGCTTTATTGCTATGGCATATCAATAGCAATAGAATTTGGACTTTTTAACAGATAATATATGATAGTGAAAAAAGAGGAATGTATCATTAGATTACACAAATTGGACTGAAGATTGAGTCCAGAATAGTAAATGCATTTAATACACACGAGGTTAGAAGGTCCAAAGTAAGTCATTTCTCTTCCTGCCACAGGTGACTACAGTCTATATGCCCTTTAAACTTCTCATCTTAATTTAAGAGCAGTCATAAAGCAAGTCCTCCTGCCTGGCGTACTTACAGTTTCAGGCAAGCGTCTATAAAACATCTGGATCATAATCCACAGTTCGAGCTGAAAGCAGGCGTTAGACGTAACTAGTAGAAGTCCTACTGAGCCCCGTCACTGGCCGGCGTGGATTACGTGCGTGAGGCACACGACGCCCAGGGGCTAAATATCTGTGCCTTGGCTTCTTTCGGTTGCAACAGCAGAACCCGCAGAGCAGACCCCCTCCGACGATGAGGACCGCAGTAGTGGCCCAGCCGATGAAGAGGGAGGCTCCCAGCTCTCGTTTCTGACCTACGTGGACCGCTGGGTTGTAGAAATCCCGGATGATGTCATTGGCCATCCAGCACACCGGAATCAGAACGAAGATCCCGGTCAGGATAAAGAGGACTCCGGAAATTCCCACGAGGTATGCTTTTGCCCTCCGGTCAGAGCCTGTGCACTGAATCTTCTTCATGCCACAGATGCCAACAAGCAGAGCAATCACAGACAGGGCCGCAGCCACACACATGAGCGCCCGGGCCGCCTCCAGGGCAGGCGGGAGGGCCAGCAGAGAATCATAGGCCTTGCACTGCAGCTTATCCTTGGCTTGTCGGACGCAGTTCATCCAGAGGCCTTCCCAGACCCTTTCGAAGACAATTATGTTGCTGCCAATAAAAGCCGACACTCTCCACTGAGGCAGAAGAGTTGTGGCAAGGGTCCCGACCATGCCGAAGAACCCAAGAACCAGTCCAGCGATTTGCAGTGGATAAAATGCCATCGCCTTTGCTCTGAAGACTGATACAGTCTGCAATGGGAGCTGCTCACCATTCAGAGCAGAGAGGCCCCTATGAGTCTACAGCAGTCTCAGTTGATGTTCTATCGCTGTTACTGGGCATGACATTTTAGTCCAAATCCAGAGCAGTGACTGAACTTGGCTTAACTAGAAGTACCTGTTGTAAATGCATGCTGCTGTCCGCATACACATACATTTCTGTATGGATTATTTAGTAGTCATATGGAATTGTTTCCCAGCCAATAAGAAGTAGCCAGAGGTGTGTCAAGAAATACTGCATTCAGTGTTCATATTTCTCATGTTATTGTTGTCTTAGCAATGTTGTAATTAAGTGTCAAAGCCACTATTGTGGACTCCTAATTACAGAGCTGAAAACTTCCTGTTTAAAAACCACTCTGATATTAAAGTATAAATATATGTCTTAAGCCACAACTGAAGACAATACCAAAACCTTGCCACTTCTTTGGAGAGCTTTGAAAAAGCTTTGCATTTTAGATAATGTATTATTTTCTGTCAATCTAAGCCAACTTTCTTTAACATAGTTAAAGAATTCTGGTATTAAAAAAGACTTCTGGAGTCAAATAAATGTTTAGGTATTATTTTCTACATTTCTGCTAAAATCATCAGTATTCTTAAAAAAGAGGCATGCTAAGCAAAACCTTCAAATTTCATGCTTTTTTATTTCTAAGATCCAGAAAGCAAGATGAAGCACTTATTATTGAACTTACTGGTAATTATTATATTAAATGTTGAGTAATAGCTTTCTCTCTAGTGAAATCATGTTTAGTTTATAAATGCTCATTAGCTATTTCTTCAATAGCAGCTTGGAATATATCACATTTATCAAAGTCAAAAATATATATTCCATTTTTATGGCACTGTGTGAAAGTGGCCCTTTGGATTAGCTGTGCAATTACTTAAATCCAGGTAATAAAAAGCTTTTTAGAGTTGGAAGACAGTTTCAAAGTCATCAGGCTTAAGTTTCCCATTTGCTAGATGTGGAGTGTGAAGTTTCCGGAGCACTACGCTAGACTAGCTTTGTAGTAACTGATCCAAGCTTCCCAGATCCCCTGGAGAAGGGAATGGCAACCCACTCCAGTATTCTGGCCTGGCAAATTCCATGGACAGAGGAGCCTGGTGGGCTACAGTCCATGGGGTCACAAAGAGTCAGACACGATTTAGCAACTAAGCAACAACAACAACAACAACAACAACAATGGATCCAGGAATAGAAATTGTCTCTGATTTATGATGTATATCTCCTGTTTCTAATCTGACTCAAAAAGAGGAGGATAGAAGTGCTTTTAAGAACTTTCATTTGAATGGGACTAAACCTGACTTTCATGACATCCCCTTGATAGTTTTTCAAATTTTCAAAGCAAGTAAAATTCAGTTGAGACTGTTTGAAAGTCTAAGACTCAAGTTGTCATTCTTGATGGCCACATTCCTGCCATTGCTCAGACATGGGGTGGGAAATAGGCTTAATTTGAGAAGCATAAAGGTTTTGCTGAATCAAATTCTGAACTGGCCACCACCTTGCTCAAATTTTTTCAGTAGTCCTCTATTGCCCCCAAGATAAAAATTCAAATCCCTTAGCATAATGCAAAAGACCCATCCTTGCCTTGGGCCCTGCCCATTTTAACACTTATCTTTTGAACATGACTCCATCCCATGTCTTCACATTCTACTGCAAGGAATCCATTTCAAGGATGAAAACTACTTGAAAGCAAGCACACCGAGTATATACTAGGTAGGAGGCATTACCGCTTCCAAAAGGTCCTCCATTTCAGTCAACAATAGGCCAAGAGATAATGGGTGGTCCAATACTATCCAGGTTTAAAAAACCCATTGATTTAATTAGAATATGTGAAAAAATTAAGTTTCAAAAAAGGGTTGTTTATCTATCTATCTACCTATCTACCCATCCATTTATCATCTTTCTATCTTATTTGCTGTTTTTGTTGCTTTCTTACTACCATCCTAGACCAAAAGAGCATTTCCTCTCAAAGAAATGTGAATCATTGAGGAAACAGATGACTTCTGTATAGTTCAGTTTCCTAACACCAGCTCAGGATGAAGGGTTTTCTCGGCCCTTTGTTTGAGTTTGCTGAGACACAAGTTTAACCATTCCCACCCTGAAGGGATTTGCCAACACTATTCTGACTTATTACTTCTATTTCCTCTTCCTCATTCTGCCTCATTTTTACTCCTATCTTTTTTTTTTTTTGTCCTGGAAGTTTCTAACTTCCAGTTTGATTTTTCATCAGATAGAATCTGTCTGTATTACAGATAAACACAAGAAGGGGCATATGTTTACTTAGAATACGGAGGTACATCTTAAGTATAATCTGAGAAGCATAAATAATGCAAGAGCTTCAGCTTCCTTTTGCTTCTCATAGCCAATTGTCAACACCATCATGACTTTTAAAGGGAGATATTGTTTTCCTGTCCAACATTTCTGTGACTCTTATCCCCTTCCACTTCCTCGGGTGCCCCTGGTCCATTGAAACCCCATCTCTTTATAGCACCTACAGCTTCTTCATCTCTCTGAGTTGGCCTTTGGAATAGAAACATACTCAATTATCTTTCATATTAAAATTCTATTCTGCCTGATCTGTATCCCCTGGTATGTATTCATATATATCTTTTTGATCCACCTTCACATTTTCCACTTGCTAGAAATGTAACAGAATTTTGGGACTCTACACTATTGTATTTGAAGATTACTTTCATATTCTTACTTAATTGTCCTTTCTGTAAAGATCAAAATAAACCATCATCTTCTAGTTGAGGTAGTAAACAGCACAAGCCTTGGAGAGAGTTTGTTTCAGTCTTGGCTTGATGCCTTGGCCATCAGATATTGGCCTGTTTTAAACTTCTCAAAACTGTCTGTTCTAAAAAAATAAGATAATAATGATACCAACCTCATAGGGTTTCTTTGAAGACTAAAAATAGGTGCAAAGGACCTGATTTTGAGGAAGTACCCAGGGAAGGCTTGCTGTAATGTTTGTCTCTTTTGCCTTTGTTACATTATCCTGCTTACTTCTTCTCTACTTGCTCATCCTTGGTCTTTTCATTATATTAGTGCCGTGACCCAGGTTCATTGGGTCTGGTTGCTCCAGGATTCCATATATACCTTAATACCCTTCTCTCCTAGAACATGCTGTCTGGGGAGTTTCACCCAGGGCCATAACTTTTACTATGTCTTGTTGGGTTACAAGTGTCTAATCTGTTATCGTCAACCCAGGCCTCTCTCTGCTTATGACCCTGGGTTTTTGTTTTCTTTTGCTTCTCCCAGCCCCTCAGTCAGTAGGAAACTCTGGAGCTCCTATGCCCTTCCACGTGCTGAGAGTGCTCACCTACATCCATCTTCAGGTATTTCCTGAAAACAGCCATCTCACTGAAATCACTCTCCATTCATCAAAGTGTTAGTTGCTCAGTCATGTCCGACTTATTGCAACCCATGAACCATAGCCTGCTAGGCTCTTCTGTCTATGGGATTCTCCAGGCGAGAATACTGGAGTGGGTTGCCATTCCCTTCTGCAGGGGATCTTCCCAATCCAGGGATCGAATCTGGGTCTCCTGCATTGCAGGAAGATTCTTTACCATCTGAACCACCAGAGAAGTGGACATTCGTTCATGGGGACAGTCTACATCTAACTAATGACTGCTCAATATAGGAGTGTACAGGCCTAGCCCACTATCCCCAGGTAAGGGTTAACTCTAAGGGGCCCTCCTAGTTCAGTGCTCACTATGGGGTTAGCTTAGGCTTTCACCGAGTCTGTACTGCAAGTTGATTTCTTATTTCCAGTTCTCTTCCTTTTCTTCTTTCCCTCAGAAAGGAACACTCTATAATAAACCCAATATGCCCCAATCTCTACCAGCAGAGTCTGCTTCTCAAGGAGCCCAATCACTGATCGATAATTTATTGTAATTTATTAAATATGTTTCTTGTTCTAACATCACTATGCCTTAGTTTGCCTTTCAGCATTCTTACTTGAATCATCTTATCGATAATAATGTCTTATCTCATCTCCTTGCCTCTGGTATTACTCCACTGAGGACCATAAAGACTTTGCTGAAACAAATTCTGAACACGCCACCACCTTGATTAAGTTTTTTCTTCTCATTCTCTATTGCCCTCAAGATAAAATCCAAATCCCTTAGCATAATGCAAAAGACCCATCCATGGCTTGGCTCCTGCCCAATTTTAACATTTATCTTCTGAACATGTCTCCATCCCATGTCTTCACAGAGCTTACATTTCAGTGAGAGTAGTACATATTTTTAAAAAAATTGCATGCACAAAAATATGCAGTTACAAGTTGAGATAGAGCTAGAGATAAAAATATAGGGTATAGAAAACATAGGGTATAAAGAGAATGCAAATAGATGAGATCTTAATTTTAATTATAGGGTAAAGAAAAGGCTCTCTGATGATGTGGTATTTAAGCTGTAATCTGAAGCTTGAGGAGAAATTAGCCAGATCATCAGATAAAGAGTGGGGTAAAGAGGATTCTGGTCATGGGAGACTGGCTGGGTGAAGGCAGTGGGGCCAAAAAGAGCTTGGGGCTAATGTGGGTGGAAGACCTTGTGCAAGAGGGATGTGAGAACTGCTGAAGGGCACATGAGGCTGAAATATAGTCAATGTCCAGATATACAGGGCCATGCGGACCATTTAATAATCTTCTCCAAAGATCAATGCAAAATCAGTTCAAGATTTTAAGCATCAAACTGACATGATCAAAACTGTACTAACAAAATATAATAAGGACCTACTGTATAGCTCAGAGAACTCTATTCAACACTCTGTGATGGCCCATATGGAAAAATAATCTAAAAATGAGTGAATATATGTATATTGGTTTCCCAGGTGGCACTAGTGGTAAGAAATCTGGCTGCCAATGCAGAAGACATAAGAGATTCAGTTTCAACCCCTGGGTCAGGAAGAGCCCCTGGAGGAGGGCATGACAACCCATTCCAGG